ACAACATTATGGTCTGCCAGCGCGTTACATCACTGGATATAACTTGCATCAATATTCGCTGAATGGGGATGAGATCACCACCCGTTTGACCCGGGGCAGGGTTAAGTAAGTCATCCTCTTCCAGGACGTTCTTTACCGCCGGAGCTACCTTCCTTCAAATTTATACCACCATGGCCATCGCATCAATCAAGCAGATTAATGAAACGACCCATCCTGGAAAAATTACCCCAAAATTATCCGGGAAAAGCAATATCAACCCATACCTCACAAAAATGCAGAGGAATTGTATCAACCGAATTCTTTTCTCCAGATAGAAGGATGTAGCAGTCCGGACGTAGGTGCAGCCTGACTAACCGACAGCAAAATCGGAGACACATGACTCGAAGACCTGGTGTACTGTACCTCGAAACGGTGCTCAGCTCCAGCCAGAGGATCTCTGCGATGCTACGTTGTGCTGCAGGGGACAGAATAAGGCATAGCTACCATCCCACAGGAAGCTATCTCCAAAGCTGCTTTTCCACCACACCGGCCTCATAATTAATATAATCCCTCTTCACCATTCCCACGGACTTTAGGGCGCTACCTCATCCTGACATCAGCTGATAATGCTTAGGATCTTGCAGTTGTCTGTACAATCAGCCGACACAGGCAGCCATCCAACACCTGTATGCCGGATATCGTATTCTAGGTAATAAGACAACGAAGTAGTGGCACGCCATCCTCATCTGTGGCCGGCGTGGTCATTCCTGTTCGAAGCACAGCCACCATAAGGCCTCCGGTTACGACTGGAGTCCTTGCACTTCAGCACAAGCTTACGTTGCTGCCTGCTTATCTAGCCCGCGTTCCCCTGGAGTTGTGTGGTTGCACGTCCTTTCCACAATGGTGGCGATCTGTACATCTCAGGTAACCGCTGTCACGAGGGCCTCACACATCCCCTGCAGAATAACGAATTTTACACAAATATTCGCCCGTCATCATCATCGTCATTGTCAGCTGTAATAACCGCGTACTCGTCGTACAGTGGTTGTAGCTGCCGCAGGTTTGTTCACCGATGATTTGAGGAGTAAATTTCTGCACGCTGTAGGCGGGAGCTGATAAACTGCTGCATAAACCCAGCACTGTCAGTGGTTTGTCAAGTGGGGGGTTGGAAAAGCAGCTATGCATTGAAGGCAATAGCTTGGATGCACGAGCGCCACTGAGGGCGCGAGTGGGCCATGTCTGATAATGTCTCCAGCCATTGATGTGGCCCGTCTCGGGGCCCCCATTCAGGAAGACGGCAATGACCAGCGCGGCTGAGTTTGCGGGTAATGGCTTTCATACTTCACTGCCAAGTCATTGTTTGACCGCCTCTGGCTCTCTTCCACCCTTCACATGGTTGAGCGAAAAGAGCCCTTCGAGGAAGTCGGTCGCCTGGCATACGCAGCACGTGGCCAAGCCAGCGCAACCTGTGCAGTGTGATCAGTGCATCTATCGAGGGTGAGTTATTTTTCCCGAATACCATTCGACGTACTTCAACATTGCTGATCCCGTGTTCCCACCAGATTCGGGCAATGCTCCGAAGACATCGATGGTCAAACACTGAAAGTCTTTTGACGTCCTCGGCGCGCAGCGGCCAGGTTTCTGATCCATATAGTAATATGGAGCGCACCGCAGCATTGTAAACCCGACCCTTGACAGAGAAACTGATGTCACGCCTACGCCACAGGTGACGTAGGTTCGCAAAAGCTGCTCTGGCCTTCCCAATCCGGATGGAAATATCATCTTTCGCGAGACCACCGGGACTGATACAGCTGCCCAGGTAGACAAATTTGTCTACTACCTCAATCGGTTCATCCGCAAGCATGAGGCTAGGGTTCGAGCCCACCCAGTCTTGCAGTAGCACTTTACACTTTGCAGGTGTGAAGCACATACCAAACCGCGAGGCAGAATTATTTAGATTACTTAGTATTGTTTGCAATGCCACGGGGTCAGATCCTAGAAGAGCTATGTCGTCTGCGTACTCGATGTCTGTGAGCGGAGGCCCAGGGAGCACTTCGACCCCACAGGCATTAGAGGCTGGTAGTGAGTCTTCCATGATCGTATCAATGACGAAGTTAAAGAGGAAAGGTGAAAGAGGACAACCCTGTCGGACACCACTTGATGTGGTGAACTCAGGAGAGAGCTTCCCGTAGACCTTTACACGGCCGCGGGAGTTGGCGTACAGCGCCTTAATGAGGTTCAAGAATTTATGGGGGACACCTTTGCTCCACAGACACTGCCATAGTGCTTGGCGGTCCACAGAGTCAAAGGCAGCTTTCAGATCAAGAAAAACAACCATTGTTGGTTGCTGGAAGCAGTGTCGCTGTTCCAGAATCTGTCGGAGGGTGAAGATATGGTCGATGCAACCTCTTGCAGGACGGAACCCAGCTTGGTTTTCACGGATCTGTCTCTCCCTGTGTTCAGTCAACCTTCGAAGGATAAGGCCAGAGAGCACCTTCGATGCCACAGCTAACAGGCTGATGCCACGGTGGTTCTCACATAGCATCCGTGTACCCTTTTTGAAGATGTGGATAACTGTCGACATGCCCCATTCTGCAGGCACTTTCTCCTCGTCCAATATAGCACCAATAAGCTTTTTCAGGTCGGTCACCTCTTTGTAGGGAGCTGGATACAAACCGTCCGATCCTGGTGCCTTGTCGCGTTTCAGTATGGCTGTTTCGTAAGTTATTTCTTGTTCCGAAGGGCGATCTAGGTTTACATTCCATTCGCCCGTCTGCATTATCTCCACCGGCTCTTCGTCTGTACACGAACAAATCTCCACGCGTGACCAAGCATGTTTCGCGTGGGTCCCGCGTTACAAACCTTACGCCTCACTTCGGACTGCGCCTAGATCCTGAGGCCAATGTTGGTTCAAATACATTCTCACTGACCCTCCTCTACATTCTACGACCTCTCAAGCGTTCAGCATAACAATGGGAATGCCTGGCATCTGATTGCTCGTGGTTTGGTGTGCTCCCAGGGGATCGAACTATCTCCGATGGTGCCATGAAAACGTTAGTGAAGCCTACGTTGTTTCTAGTACTCTTTCACGATTGTTTCAATAACCTTATGTGTTTTATTCATTTAGGCGGCCCTAAAGAGCCGCCATACGTTAATGATACGAGGTAGGGCCCCCAGTAAATCGAGTGTGCGAAACCTGAGAGAAACCGAAACTAAAATCTCCCCCATAACTTCAATTAGACAGTCCATGTTCATTAGGTACGCATTCCTCATATTTCCCCAGTTCCTCGACCTTTTCCTTATAGTAATAACCGAAAAGCTTACGTGATTACGGTCAACTCTGCAATTTATTGTTTTGGCCATTTATTCCTCGACCAGGGGGAGAAAGTTATCTGTCCCATTCTGTCTAACTTTTCTGAAACCTACTATGCCCCAACTCGTTTAGGTGTATCCTGTTTTATTTTGCTCATTTTTGCGGAATCGTATTCCACGGTTGGTTGATTCGTGAAGTTATCCGTCTGGAAAATTTACGGCACAATGGAACAAAAATGCTTCCACCCTCCTGACTTTTAACCAGGCCGAACTGCTCTTGTGTCATAATTCCATCCTTTCGAGGCCATCCACTTTACAGCTGGAAATCTCTCCAACCTTGAGTGTATCCCAGTTCATTACTCTCCGAGATCACATTGTTAATCTCTTTGAACATGTTTACTCTTCATCCACGATTAACTTTCATCCGCCTTTATCCAACACACGAATGAACTCATAGACGTGGCCATTCGTGTCGATAACTGCTTTCCATGCAACGTTGGTCACCCTTAACGAACTTATTACTTTTCCTCATCAGCTATTCTACTGCTTTTTGTTCACCTTCCCCATTTGCCGTTTTTCATCTAAATATCTCCCATGCATACATCTACATCTTAGGATTGCGACGGTAATTTGGCGTCAGTAATTTATTCTCGTAGAGTATCTCGCTGAAATCCCGGCCGTCGAAATGGTGCAATTTATCCATTTCATTTAGCCGGTATGGTTTTTGTTCCGCCTCACATTATCATGTATCAGCAAAGTTGCGGAGTCACACCATTGTGAATGGTGCAGCTCCGTTATCTTCAAAGCCTTTCAGACAGGCGAACCGGATCCGCAACAAGATTCAAACACACGCTTAATCCACTTCACGAGCAGTCTGCTAGCAGTTCTTGTACGAACCCATTGTGAATAGTAGGAATAAACCAGAGTACAATACAAGGATAGATACCCGAAAAGATTTAGCTGTGGGTCTCCTTTCAAGCACGTCCTCCTCACCCAACCATGAGAGATCGGCTCAAAAGGCATTTATCGTTCTGCGGATGATACGGCGCACCTCCTGTAGATTACAAACATGGATTTTCTTACCCCTTACGTGGCACACGTCAGAGAGTTTTTGATTAGGTCAACCAAGTTGTCTATTCAAAACACGAGAATTACGCGCCCTCTCTGAGCGAGCCGCTAAGAAGATTGTTGCTGGCCTCAAATCCGTTGAATATGAATCATATTCCGGGGTGCTTGAACTATTTCTCCAGTGGTATTATCGACTCTGAAGGGACCGAACAGTTATTTATGTTTTGTTCGAACAAGGTCTGGCCGAGAGTTCTTAAACTGTGACCAAACTATCACAAGACTGAATACGTCAGGGCTCTCAAGATCGGGGCGCAAGCCATTATTAGGTAACAGACTTTCTCACCCCCCAGACAATTAATAATACTGCATCTAGTATCCACTTCGGAGCATTTTAGCGGCTTGCTTGTGGAACCTCGAGCTTCTAATCTTAATGTCCCGAACTAGGGACATAAAGAGCACCGGTGCACCTTATTTTCGCTTGTGCCCTTCAGGCGAAAGCTACCACTGAGCGATAAGAACAAACCAAATCCGTAGTTCCTGGTGAAAATCCTCTATCCCACGTAGCAGTGAATGAAGCCATGTGAACTTCTTGAACCGCTAGGACTTTTGTTTTAACTCGTCAATTAGTTGGAATACACCAGCGAAAATTTCGAAATGCTGGACGGAGGTCTTCCGTGACTTTCTAAGTCCACCGTCACAGCGGTGAATCTGGAATTTATAGTAATTGATGACAAATAAGGACCAACAACATGCTTATGGATCTGTTTATTGAGACGCTGACCGGTGTATCTTTTGGGCTTCGTGTATCTCCTGCCGAAACAGTGATGTCCATCAAGTCAAAAATCCAGAGGGCTGAAGGTACGTCGTTTTCCTTGAATCGTAGATGGTTGATGCTAATATATGTTTACCTCCCTCATCTTTATGGAATGGTAGCTGGCCTAAAGTAACTAGAGCATTTGGAGCCGCGGCCCAGTTGACAACCCGTTTTCCAGTCGCTCGTTGTGAATAGCTGTGGAATGCTTTTCAAAAGTTCCATATTGAGAACGACCGGTCTACAATCAAATAGTGTGACCATTTTTGCCTTAAGGGACCCCGTTGCCACAAAACTGACGGCATCCTGTAGAACTTTACTACCCCACAAACATTGCAATTTCAATTTGGTACATGAGGGAGAGACGGAAAATACCCTCAAAATCCCCTCTAATCTTGAGTGACCGAACGGGGCTGCCCTGATTGGAGCATCATTTGTCCTTTCTAATGTCCACCGTGGTACAATGTGGCACAAAACCATGAAAAAATTACAAGTTCAGTCCTTCCCTATTTCAGACCACTAATGTCCACAGGCTTGCTGCTACTGGATGGATCCTCAACGACCATCATAAGGCTCTTTGCAGCGGCATATCCATGAAAGGATAAAAAATAGGATTAATTTCCAGAAGCCGGTCAGAGACCTTAGAAGGGTTCGAACAGACAACATTCCGAAATGTTCATGCGATGCGTGATCTCCGTCAAAGACACTGAAGTTACAGCCCTCGGTAGCTTGTTTTGTTAATAAGTCTATTAGCGTTAGCCGTCTTTCAATGTTCATTCACTGTCCCTTAACTTAAAAAACTGTTCAATTTAGCATCAGTATGTCCCCTCAGTATTCTGTATTTCGACTAGGTCACTCTCTGGTATCTGCATTAGTGTTCAATGCTCAGCCGTGCATTTGGAACTGACCGTTTGCGTCCCATCCTTCCATCTGACGCTGTTGCAACCGGTGCAATGTGCCTCCCACATATTATTGCAGTGTGCAGCTGCAAATAGTGTCATCAGCTTCCACCTTGGCAGCTGACGGAGTTCCAGATATCATCAACCCTGCGTGACAAACTGAGATTCTCGGACAGTTTACAGGCACTCTGCTTTCAGGGAATGGAACAGTTTTGATGTCGTAGTGGCATGTCAACTGGCGTTTCTGACCTGAATTCTCGTGTTATTCGTCTAAAGGTCCTGCTCCAACTCCTACTGCCTTGTGTTCGGGCTTTTGGTCTGAAGACTTTTGCTTGTAACCTTGATTGTTCTCCCGTCTAGCCCTCAGTGCCCTTGTAGTATCCAAGCCCACGTAAAACTACAGATTGCAAAATAACACATGTCCTCGACCGTTGCGTGATCTCATCAGTTGGATAGCTTAAGTTGCTGTATACAGTAGTGTGATTAAGAGGACGAAAACTACTGCTTGTGCCTCCTTTCTTTTCAACATATTTGTTCCCCTCACCCTGTTTCAAGCAACATCACAGTAGGCTCATTCTTAAGAACTGACAGGTCCGTTCGTGACAGCCAATCTGCACCGTTAAATTGGCCACCACAGCTGTTAACCCCCGTAAATCGTTCTTCAAATAGACGGTCAGTTCATTCGGCAGCGTCAAGTGTTCGCACTCTGAAGCAAGCCTAACAACAGACTTCCCCTAATTGTACACTGAACCCGCTTCTGGTTGCGCATCCCTGGTGATCCAGAAGAAGCTGCAGCTGCCTGCTGGGGTTAGCATGTTTTTGAGCCATCGAGCTGATGGATATCTAGTTGAATAGCCGCATGTTCGTAGTTCATTTGGCAACGCCTGTGAGGGTATCACGTAGACGCATCGATAACCGCTATCTGTTCATCGTGTCTGTTTACGCCCTAACCGGGGCCCTGACCATCGGTGTCTCCGAAGTATTGGTCAGGTGTGATGGGAACATCGGATTAGCAATACTGAGGTACGCCAGATGGCCTTAGGAAGTAGAAACTCCTCCCTACCGATAGATGGATTACTTACGGTTCGTTGGTTACGCTGGCTAGGACATGTACTCCACATGCCAGAAGACCATCTGCCTCACAGCTCGATTGGAGTGTGCTGATTTTTTCTAACCCTTCCTTTGGGGGAAGGCAGCATCGCCGCTTCCATAAATGTGGACATGTTGGTCTTATGGGGGAAACGCCCTACTACTTTCACACTCCTATCGCAAAGGGAACTATGCATTTGCCACTAAACCTCGAATGGTTTTTGGAAGAAGTAACTCATTCTCACTCCACATGTTGCGTTGGCTTGATCAAGTGCTCCATATGCCAGTCGACCGACTTCCCCGACGAGCCCTTTCCACACAACCACACGAAGGGCAGAAACTAGCCAGGAGGCGTCAAACAATGGCTTGGTAGTGAAGTATGAAAGTCATCAATAACTCAGCTGAACTGGTCATTGCCGTTCCCCTGGATGGAGACCTCAGAAGGGGCACAATTGTCAGAGCCATTGTCAGAAATTGCCCAATGACGAGCATGCGTCCAAGCCGTTGCCTTCAATGCTTAGCTCTTCGCCTTGTTACCTCCACAATGAAAAACCCACTGGCATACCTGTATTGACGCATCAATTGTATCTGCTGTCGCCTCTGCCCTGGAATTGTGGCGTTTATAACCACTACACGGCTAATGCGAAGTTTTCGCAGCTGGATATGATACTGACAATGATGTTGATCGCAAGACGTGATCGAACCGGATGGCTTGGGTTTCTTTCACTTTTCGCTCATCCAACCAATGTCCAATATCAGCTGACTGCGTTTTCAGTAGTTTCCAATCTAGAACAGCTTAGCAAAACTGGTTCAAGTTTATTAAGTGAATTGTCCCACCTCACCCTGTCTAGTCCCACCGCAAAGCGAATTTATAACAGGCTGGCGTGTTCAAAATAAATTTGTGTGCCACTGAAGGAAGGATAATCTTTGAGACCCTCCCGATTGAATACCATATGGTCCAATTAAGTCCGCAACTGGATTGCGTTTAGTAGCCTCCAAGCAACTCGATGTAAGCTCTTCTACCTAAAGTTCTTGGTGGCTAGCGATGAACGATGTTCACACAGCTGAAGTCGCTCTCTATTATCCTTACACTGGGCATCCACTTCAAATCTATCATTTAGGTGTCTCCTTAATGCCCCCATCTAGGCTTGAGCAAGCTGACACTATTGCAGCCCTCGTGCTTCCTTTGGGTGACATGGCAGATAGGCACCGAAAGTGTTATGGCTGAACGATTCTATTTTTCCTATTTCAAGCCTGCTAACTCCGGACATAGTCGCCCAACCCAAGCGTTCACATCACCACCGGGGATGACAATATCCGTCCCTGCTAACAAGCAGTTGTGACATCTCGATAAAACTCATCTTTTTCAGCTCCCGGACTGTAGTCTGTCAAGTATGTTAACATCACTAGTAGATAGCGTTTATCGCACCGACCTGCGCCTACCTTTAGTGACCACAAGGACGGCTGTTTATTGGCGTCCACTGCAATGAGGCGCTTTTAACCATAGGGTTGGTGCAACCCCCATTCCGTATATGATCGCGAGCCATTGCACGTGCATGACTAAATGTCGAATAATGATGTGAGGTTTACTAGTTCTAATTTAATTTGCATGACTAAAGTGAACTCTTTATCAAGCGCTTCTGAAACGATGACTTTCCAATCGGTTCCAAACTTTTCCAATTGATTGAAAAGTAGGCTCTTGTTTATGTATTTTAGAGACATCGACAGACAGGAGAAGCAAGTTTTAAACAGTGGGCGCTTGTCAGGTTCCACAGGGAATACAGAAATTGGAATCTGCAACGTGGATTAGATCTTTTGAATTTATTAAAGGGTTGTTTTGGTTTATTTTTTTGAGCGGTAGTTCAGACATGGAACAATGCTTAAGTAACTGACAGCTTAGTGGACCGCGGTGAATCAGCTGAAAGTTGGGGAGGGAGTGTGAATAGGGGTCGGTGAACGAAGAGCTTCACGGGCCAGTGATACATGCTGTCTACTCAGGTCCAGGAGGGGGATTGGTTCTTTACCCAACCGTGAGACTTTTACTCCGACTCACAAAATGGCGAGTAGTAGGGAATGGGTTCTCCGCCAGGAGATAATGACCGAATAGTCCGACCCGCTTGGTGGTGGGGACTGGCTTAGTCCGATGGAGTCAAGCATGTGTGTCTGATGACTGATGTGACAGCGCACAACGTTTGAAGCCGCATCTGATTGTTATTAAATTTTAATTGTGTGTTGATAGTATGGGACGAAATTCAGCGGCCGTCACGGTCAACCGTTGGATGATCGGAGCATGCGGTTTTTAGGACCGATCTTTTGTAACTCTTCTTTCATCGAAAGAAGGTAGCGCCGTTGCAGAGCATGCTGCGAGTTTACGGTTAGTCATTGTATGCGGACTGACTATTTTTAGTTTGACTGTCCCCCATTAGTCTTCTTGGCATTGATAAAACCTGTTGAACGAAGTCCAAGCCAGTGTGAGACCAGCACAACACTCAACCCAGACCAACAAGTCAAAGTGGTAGCTTTTGGTTGCCATTCGACCATTGGGTTTAGTAAGAGCTAGTCACTCGACATAAAGACCGACCCTTGTTTGTGTTATCGGCACAACAACGGATCGGACCTGCGACTCTAAGGAAAGTGCTTTCTACTTAGATGCACCTGGAGCCGAATGACTTATCTCCTTGTCGAACTGTTCGAGTACTTTTTTCACATAGCCGTGGTAGTTCTGTTCTTTTATTTCCTCTCCACAGTGCGTAGAGGTCCACTCTAGAGTTGTGTCATATATGGCTCAAAGTGAGCCATACCTGGGTTACATTAAGGATGGATCGATTTTATGTGCGATATCGCAGTTCGGAAGTTTACTGGAATGTGCAGAGTCAAAATTTCAATTTCGCTGTGCGAGATTCTGAAATTGAACACGAAGTCAAGATATTCAGCCCCAATGGAAGGGTGTCGCTAAGCGGTTCTCATTACTACTAGCTGCATCATTGAACCCAGAGCAAGAAAACATCCGGTCCAAATTAAGAGTTTGAACCATCTTTTCCTAGACTATCTACGTATCGTTTCATCAGTTCCAGTCATCCTTTTCGAATATGTTGAGTCGCTTCCTTTACGGCTTTCATGTTGATTTTATGGTATCAATACACAGTGTTTCCTAATACCCGTCTTTTTTCCGATGCCATGTCAAATTTTATTACATCTGGCCTCAAAAAACGTGCGATGGACAGTAGCAATGAATTAGTAGTAAGATCATGAGTTGACTCATTCCTGGGTTGTTGTCTATGTCAGTCGGCATCTTGTTGTTGTCCCAAGTTACTCACGAGAATTGACGGGAGACCGAATGGGATGATTAACAGCGTCGTCTACCTCCCACCGAAAAGTCAAATTATCACGATTTGGCGACGAGTTAAACTGCATTGGCAGCAATTACAGGTATTTTTAGGACGTTTGTGTATTTCTGGGTCGATTTGTTGGAAATGATCTTCGACGTTCTCGTCCCGCGGTCGATATGAATAACGGAGTTGGATGAAATCCTTGTAGAACCACTTCTGTTTGGTAGATCATTAGTTAAAGATGACCGCCGAGATAACGGGGAAATGACTCCCATAGAAGGGCACTGACAGTCAGCACAAATAGAATAATCTGGTGACCATCCAGTACGAGTTATTGATAATGTATTGGCATATTGGTTGTTCGGGCGCATTCATCAGGTAGCTCTTGATCTATTCGCCGAGCTTCTCAATCGCGTTGTCAGCACTCAATACATCAGTCCGGTGCATAGACCGGTGCATAGAAAATATAAGAACAACCTTTGCTTAATTCAATCGAACCTAATATGAAGCAAAAAGCGCATCTACTGACGCTGTCCTTTTGATTCCGAATAAACCTGAAGTACACGTTTCTGCAAACTGTAGAAATCGCTCAATAATTTTTTGATCTAGCCCCACTTACCCCATGAAGGTTACCGTTCAGAATGAGAGTGGTCGGTTAAGCGTTGGCAAAGTGGATCGGGCATCTTGGTTTCACTTGGTGTATTGAACACCTAGCCAATCTTTACTCTCCATTTACTTTACGTATTACTTGATATTTTTTGCTTTCTATTTCTGACTTCAGGTATCCCGATTACCCAACAGCATCTCATATGGCAAAACGGGGAGCTAGATGACCATCGTCGTCTCCGTGACTACTCTATTTCTGCTGGTTCAACCATTCGTCTAGTTCTCGGTTTGCGTGGTGGTCCACTTAATGCACACCGCATTCCGCCACTCCGTCTTACGCCAATCCAGCTGACTCCAGCAGCACCATCGTCATCTTTTCTTCCAAGGATCCACCGCATGTCATCGGCTAGTACTCGGTTAACTCAGCTGTCGCGGTTCCATTTTCCTGCTCTGTGTTCGACAGGATTTTCATCCGATTCAACACCCGGATTACAGCAGAACGGTTCAACACTTTCACCATCTTCGGAAACTTTAGTTAATCTTTCCCAATCTGAAGCATCCACTTCATCTGCGACAATTGGAAGAAATCCACGGGCAACTTCAGACACTCCATCACTCTCGAGGAAGCCAACTACAAAGTCTTCTTTGGGCTCATCTCCTAGGTTAGCTGGACCATTCTCTTCTGAAGAGGTTCACAACCATGTTGACCCCAGCAGGTATGCTTGTTGCGTTTTCTTCAGTTCTTGTTGTATCGTTCAGTCCTCAGGTCCCACCTTTTGCAACTTCACTGTGATTGGCTGCCCATCAAATTTTCCGAGGATTACTCGTAACTGTTGCCTCATGTTACTGTTGTTTTTTCTTCCACCTAATGATTTCCCATAAACTGCCCGAAAATTAGCTACCTCTTTCACGCGGGCACGATTCCCACTCTTAATGTAGGATTAGCGGTCACCAATAATATGGTAATATGGGGCGGAGACAAACACTGCACTTTCCGCCAATGAAAAGCGTTAGCTTGAGGGCACAGCTGTTCGATATTTATTTGTGGGTGTTGGCAATAGCTTTTTTGAAGTTACCGTGTCATGCCTATCGGTGTTTTTGTCGTCTGTATGTTTCATCCCGGACTGCCCATCTGGAAAGACAGTGGCTATCAATGTCACTGAGTTTTGTGTCTACTGCTTTCATGCTCGCTACCGATTGTTTTGTTGCTCGTAGCTGAATGAAATGAATGTGCAGATGGTTAGTTATTTAGCTTAGCCAGCGCAATCCATATAACATGGGCTGCCTTCGCTGTCGGCAACGAACATTTCACATTTGATGGTAATAATCTTCGTTTGTACTTCTAAACTTATCCATAAAATAGTGGTTCCCAGTCACGAATACATAGGATTCATCCTGAAGGTTAATGATTTGGAGAGGTATCAACTGGTTGTGG